TTTCTCTAAAGTAATCAACTTAAGGTAAATTGGAATTCAATTATTTTGGTATTTTAAGCATAACAAAACTTTAACAGTCAAGTTTCAGTGTTACTAAAAAGCAACTATTATTTTCGTAAAAACAATTGTAAAATTAAATAGAATGCGCTGAAAAAAAGACTAATGTAATGTAAACGATAGAAATGATAGGGGTAATAATTTTGAAGAAAATTATAAATAAATCCAAATCCCATTTCATAATCAACGACCCTGGTAAAAATATACATTGAATGAATGGTAAATAAGTTGAAATAAACATAGTAAGTATGATAATAAGAATAAATAGACGTTGAGAGTATGGTTTGAAAAAAAATTGAAACGAAAAGATATGTATAGAGAAGTACTGAAAATCAAGATCTAGAGTGAAGGTTTAGACGTCTGTAACCAATTCTGAGATATGTAATTTACTAATTATTATATTTATTTAAACATATAAATATATGCATCGAATAGATACGCACTACACAAGTCACTTGATTTGTGTGTGGGCTGTGATCCTGTCCGGGTGCCCAAACCAAACCAGGTGGTTTTCTTAGGGGGCCGCATCCGGAGCCTTCAACCTAAAGGTCTTGTCCACAAGGCAGTAGAGTAGCTTCGGATGTAGTCGGATGGTAGACGGTGACCAGTTATTGGTTCATACACTATCCGTTCCTTCAGGATCCTGCAACCCATATACACCATTAGTTTGTAATCAGGGTTTTCCAACTCCCCTAAGTGGAATCCCCGTATCTACCAACCCGTTTAAAGAGCCGGACATTCGCTTTTTGTCCTCTCGATTTCGTAAACAGTAATGCTGCGAGAAGGTAGTGATTAGGACTTCCCTGTCAGTGGCTGTATACATGTGGCTATATGAGGGTATCTGGAGAGGAGACTATCTCCACTTTCGGCCGAACCAGGGCATTTGGGGGCTACATATGTCATGCAAGTGTCCAGCCAGTGATTAGGCAGATACCAACCAGATGGTTTTCACCTACCAATACAGTTTAGTTCAATAGTCAATGAACTCATTGATTAGTGCCACGTTTTGGTTTACCCGCCCTTAGTTTTTTCCCCGACTTTCTCCTACACTGGTTGATATTGTACACCAGGGTAAAACGTCGTAGGAAAGGCATGACGCTTATCCTGACCTCCTCAGTCGGTGATAATGAACTGACTTTCAACATAAGATTCCTATTTTGTAGACCACGATCCACTTTTTCCAGTAGTTAGGAAATAACAACTCGTTAGATCCCTATATGTATATATTTAATGATACTAAAAGTTTAGATGGTGGTTGGAGGAGTCAACAGGAAACCCTGGACCCGGGTTTCGTGCTACTTGGCACTCGTCAGCAAGGTGTACCTGTAAACTTGAGGGAACTGGTGCTCCCTGGCGGACTCGATCTCGTGTCACCCAGCTTCGCAGTCAGAGACGTTACCACTGAGCTATCCGAGCCGTGACTAACCCCCTGTAGGACTGAGATATAATCACAATTGATTGATCACTGGGTGGTGATCAATGTCATGCTTGTCTAGTCCTTATTAGTGCAGATCGAATGCTATCGATCATGTTGCAATGTGGCCACTAGTCTAGGTGACTCGACACTGCGGTCACTATGTATTGAGATTTAGGTGGTGGTTTGAGGTAGTCAACAGGAAACCCTGGACCCGGGTTTCGTGCTACTTGGCACTCGTCAGCAAGTTGTCGAGTCACCTAGACTGGTGGCCACATTGCAACATGATCGATAGCATTCGATCTGCACTAATAAGGACTAGACAAGCATGACATTGATCACCACCCAGTGATCAATCAATTGTGTG